AAATTAGAAACAAACAAACATGCACTTATAAGAGGTGAGTGAATGAATTGCGAGATTTATGGCTAACAAGGCATGACCTTTTAACACGTTGACGACAACGCGAACTTTTTATTGTCTCCTCTTGGGACCAAGACCTTTCACGGACCAGTCATCATTTTTCCGATAAAATCTAGAGGTTACTTCTAGATTTACAGCAAAAGAAAACTTTTGTAATGAATTTGCACTAGGATAGTCTTCATTTTAACGAAGTTCAAGCTTTGACACACTATGTTTGTCAAGCGGTCCCACGTGGTAGTCATTGCTTGACACACCTGGTGTGTCAAACGATGTCAATGTGTTAAGTGGCAGCTGATTGACCATGATTATAGTACGATTTCATGAGTTAAACAACTTTTAAACTCAATAATAAACATCGTAATTGAAGATGCGGGCCTTCGTACAGAAAAATTCTGTCATCCATGGCTGCGACACTATGTGAGTAGATCACACATCTCGCATCTGCACGTCCAGATAAACATGACGCACATTTCCAGTCGACTGTTGTCCGCACTTATAATGTTTTATAAGATATTTAGAGCAATAACAATGGGATAGCATAAGAACAACCTGAATATCAACATATACAGAAATTTTTAGGAGAAAATTAGAAAGCTTCAAGAAAAAGCAGAGCCGCAATGCGTTTCATCGTCCATCATTTGAACAGAAAGAAACGCGGTACTATAGAATGATTAGAGGAAATGCTATCAAGTAGACAAACCAAATAATATACTGAAATAGTTTCCATCGGTTTTCAAATGGGTCATACAGCAGAAACAGAGAATTACTACGGGACAGGAATAACGCTTTCAAATGCTAAATATTGTCTTCTCAGGTCAAAAACAAAGAGAAGACGGTAAAGTAAGAGAAACCCATAAAACAAAAAAGTTTATCGCAAAAGCAAAAAGGCGCATCTGCATTTCGTTGCTTTATGATCGCCTGCTTTGCACTGTTCGCGCAACGATAACTTTACTGTGCTTATCGTTTGTACTTCAGGAAAAAATCTTAGGTGGAGGCCTAAGAGAGCCACGACTTGCTTATTTCTTTCTTGAGTTTCTAGACTTCTACTAGTAAAATCCGTCAGAGCTGGAATGCTATTAAAAGGTGCAAGCTGTCGCACCTGAGGTTTTTCAAAAAATGAAAAAAAAACGTTGCAAGGATTTTTTCAACGTAAGCGATTTATTTGGTCTAATGAGAAATAAAAAATTGAAATTCTAGAAATTGACACCTTTATATATAAATGTGACAATAGGATGGAGCGTGTGCACAAAAATGAGATGAGAAATGAGAGAATGCTAACCTCTCATACAAGTTTTAGACATAGATTAGTAGAATTCAGCTACGCTGAAGCATAACGGGTGGGATTGCAGCAACTTATACATGCACTATTCCATACCCTTCATGATAGACTTAATATTTTAGGTAAGTACGAGTTTCCCACAGCAATAAACCTTTTAATGCTTCATGACTTACGTGCGACCTGGTTATACTCAGACAATCGACCGGACCCCTCCGCCGGACAGTCGGAATCTGCCAGAGTCGCGCCGGACCCAGTTGACCAATGAGAGCGGGGCGATTGGGCGGTCCTTTCTTGTAGGTCGCGGTGACATCACTGGCAGGCAAGTGGGACCCTTCTCCGGTCCTGCTGCAAAGGTACGCCAATTCTGCTCCGGAGGTACGCCAGATTTGGCAGAGCCGCGCCGGAGAAATTTGCCCGCCGCGAGTCCGCCAGATTTGGACGAGCCGCGCCGCAGAAAATCGGAGGGGTCCGGAGCACAAATGGGAGGGCTCCGGAGCGCAAAATGGAAGGGCTCCGGAGCACAAAATGGGAGGGCTCCGGAGCAGAAATGGGAGGTCTCCGGAGCAGAAATGGGAGGGCCCCGGAGCACAAGTGGGAGGGCTCTGGAGCAGGCTGCGTATCGATTTGGCGCGTAGCTAAGCAAACGTCTAACTCCACGGTGATGTGTCCTCTGTTTACGCTCTTTCTCCATATTTTAGTCGTTGTTTCTTTGATTTTGTTGTTTTTCCGCGTTTCTTTACCGTTTTTTTCTTTTCCGCGTTGCTCTTCGTCGCGTTGGCATTTATGTTGTTGTAAGTTCCTCGTTTTCAGGTTTATGTTTCAAATTTTCGTGCGGATGCACTCAATCACTTTCAGTGTTTGGCTCTTTTCGACTTGCTGAGACATCGTTGACTACTGATGGAGTGGTTTTTGTGATTAATTTAAGCTCGTTCCGAACATTATCTGTGGCTTTTCGGGCAGATGCATGCTAAGGTAAGCGTTAGGGTTTCTAGGCAACTTTATATCTGATATATACCGGACATAACATCTGAATCAAAGTCCTATGAGCCACTTATCGAGGTGTATTTTCAGCGATTTCTTGTTCTCGCTCATCTCTTGTTACTGATTGCCTTTCTCTTTCACTGATTGCCTTAATTAGAGGCACTGGTGTCGTAATGTCGTTCTGCTCGACCGCGATGACGAAAGTTTTAAAATTTCAAGAATTAGCAGTTTCAAGAATTTTCTTGCAATTCTCAAAGCGACGCATCTTCATGCAGAATATTGCAAGAGACATGTTGAGACATTCGCTGATTTGGAAAAAGTTGTAAACTTCGCTTGGAAACGACCAAAAGCGAATGAGAGTAAAATTGCACCAAATATTTTGTGTATAGACATTCAAGTTTTCCTTACGACTTTTTTTTGAGAATCGTTGTGTTTCTCAATAAACGATTCATTGCACGCAAAGGCTGGACGCCGTTGCGTCATAGGAGAGAGTGTGCTGCGGAGAGGCAGTAAACGGCTAAGAGGGCGAAAGTGTGTTTAATCTGAGAGACGCCTACAGGGTCCGCAATGGCAATCTATCTCTGCCTGCGATTCGCCTATATATATATATAATGTAATGGCTTTTTTCAGTTAAGTTCGTTTAGGTGTCCGAGTCTTTGAGAGCTGTCGGAGTTAACCAATCGAATACTTTACTCACAGCTTCTCATCACTACCTGCTGCAGAATCCCAAAGTGATTTATAGGTTAGGGAACGGCCATAGGTTGTCGGTGTTGTCGGTGTTGTCGATGTTGTCGGTGTTGTCGGTGTTGTCGGTGTTGTCGATGTTGTCGGTGTTCTCGGTGTTGTCGGTGTTGTCGGGGTTGCCGAGATTGCCGGTCGTTGTAGGACCTCATGATAGCCTCCACGTTTCGCGCGCTCTCTAAACTGTCTCTGACCCCGACAACCCCGACAACACCGACAACACCGACAACATCGACAACACCGACAACACCGACAACATCGACAACACCGACAACCCCGACAACACCGACAACAGCGACAACATCGACAACATGGCCGTTCCCTATCTTAAGGAAGCTTGTTCGTGCCTGTGCTGATCGTTATTTTGAATTTAGCTCTCAGCATCAAATAAGGCTCTTGTTCTGGAAGCTATCAACAATGTAGTATCGGATATGAAAATTGTCAACGAACTGGATGAACAAATAGTTCATTTGATGATAAATCTTGCCACGCGGGAAATGACAATGACCAGCAAGGTAAGGTTTTTCCCACTCCAGTTGCTTTCTTTTGCGAGATTCTCTTCTCAAGCAACAACGTGCAGGATGTCGATACAGATTGGGCTGAAGCCGGGAAGGATGTTCCCGTGACCTTGGCAAAAACTCCTCGGTTTGTAACTCATGTCTTAGACGCGCTACTGCAGAAGTTCCCTCCTGGGTTTACCACAAGTCCACACCGGTATGTGGTATTGACTTTGGCCACTATAGCGGAACACAATCTTGACTCTTGCATTGGTTCGTTTGTTCTTTTATGGGTGACCTCTAGCTTCATATACTCAATGTTTTAGTATTGCCGATCAGCGCCAATTCGATTTTCTTTCGTCCTCTCGATGAAAAACGAGTTGACACGGTGTTATTTATGCATCCTAGTAGGTTCCTAGTCTCGTCTATTCAGGAGACGGAATCTTTGATAGGAAATTGATAACTTTTGCACTGACATTTGTGTTCAGAATCGATTGTTATCGAGAACTCTTCCTTGGAATCGCAGCATTGCCATCTATATTCTTGTGCACCTCAAAAAATATATCATATCGCATATCATCCAATCGCATAAGTGTACAGTGTTGCTTTTATGTTTCACTGCTTCTATATTCTCTCGCTGAATCTCAATGGCTCCCAAATTCTTTTTGAGGCTCAACTCAAAGATTGTAGGAATTTGATGGCGAGAGAATACAAAGGCAGTGCTGAACTTGGAGAAGATCCAACAGATGCACCTCCGTCATCAGAAATGTCTAAAATGTCAAAAATGTCAGAAATGTCTGACAAAAGGTTTTGCGCTGTGTTTTTCCAAGCAGTCTAACTCACTACACTTACTTCGCTTATGTTTTCGCTTAGGGTACGGCCATAGGTTGCCGGCAACTGTTGTCTTTGTCCGTTTTGTAGCTGCTAAGTTTTGTTTTGCAATTTGCAGGAGATTGTTTGCAGTTAATTTGAAATAAATGTCTTGTTTCTTCATTCTTCTATCTTCTATCCACAAACGCTAGGGTTGAGAGGGAGGGGGTAGAGTACGGGGGTGAGGGTCGCGCTGAACTCCTACCCGGGGGGGGGGGGGGTCCTATTCGGCTAATTTGGGTGGGATTTAGAGACAAAATTGGGGTTTGGAGCTTAATTAGGGCTAATTACAGTATGCCGCGGCAGACTTGCGGAGCACAAAATCGGGGGGCTCCGGCGCACAAAATGGGAGGGCTCCGGAGCAGAAATGAGAGGTCTCCGGAGCAGAAATGGGAGGGCTCCGGCGGACGAGTGGCAGACCCACCGCTGGGGAAACCCCGCGGCCCTGCCATTTCTCTTCCGGAAGGGTCCTATCCGCTGTCTGAGTAAGCCAAGCGTTGTGTTCAGGCGAGAGGAGGATTAAGTACAAAATAAAGGACCCAGCGAAGAATAATTGCCATTCAGTGTCAAGGCTTTGGTCCAGCTTATACCTCAGTCTTCTCCTTATCTTCCTTATTTTCACCTACTCACCCCGTAACCACAAGCCTTACCTTCCATGTGCCTGTTTCTTCTACGCTTTCTTGCGAATTATTGATGAGAGGCGGCAAGAAAGCCGCACTACCGGTATACTTCTAAGCACTAACAGTGTGTGAAATTTTTGCAAGATCTTATGATTTAAGAATTAACTATTGTTTTTCCTCTCATAGAACCTGCTCCTGTTTATGTAAAAGCACTAGCAATTTTTGGTAACATGAGGCAAGGCCACTCCTACACTAAGGCTGCATCTACATGCTATACTGCACTAGAGTGAGAAAAATACATAAGTTACATACATACTTGAGAGATAGAAAAAGTTCATTTGCAGTAAATTTTTCATCCTTGGGTTTAGCGACTTGGCTAATGGCCCTCCTCTGAAGCGGTTTGCGGGAGGGACGTTTGTTTTTGGTACGAGGTTTGGAACGAGCAGTCAGCTCCGCATAGCGCTGCTTCTTCTCTTCGGCGATAACTTAGTCTTTATGGAGAAACGTGCTGCAGCTTCATTGACTTTATAGTACTGTAGTAGACTTTATTAGTATAAGAACTCGTGATATATCAGGTAATTTCATGCCTGCTTATCAATGCGACGACAGACTTCTTGTCACAAGCATTAGTAAAACAGCCTAATAGGGTCTGCCTTGTAGCGCACATTCACCTTATGATCAGAAATTTCAACTCAAATGCAACGTCGTAATCATTTCTTTCAGTGGGCGTCAATTCAATTCTATTCATTCATGCCCAGTGAAAATTCACTGATCTGAAAATAAAGGGGGTTACATTGCCATAAACGTCGACATGGTAGTTGACACGGAGGAAGCGGGAAAATAGAAAAAAGTTGGGTAGAGCGACTCAGCCTAAAAAAGAGCATTAGTTGCTGATTCAGTATAGACTAAAACTAGCCATTATATTTACTGAAAAGTAGCACATACTTTAAAACTGCTATAGACTTTACGAGCTAAGCTATAGTAGCTCTTTATTCGCAAAGATACGAAAGATTGTTAAAGGTCACCCAGATTCTCGACTTCCAGTTTTTGTCGTTTCAGGGCCTTCTCATGTCCCTGATTCCGAGTATAAGTTAGAGAAATCGCGAAAAACCCGACAATACCCATTCCGGAGAACAGCAGGCCAGTGACAGTGATTGGATGGGCGGGCATGGAGGGGAGGGCGGTGCCGTCTGGGAGTGCTCGTGCATCTTGTTATTTCGGAGCGATCTTCTCGTTTCCGAAGCGGCATTTTGCGCTGCGGCTTGGGCATTGGCTTGATACGGGGCCCTATGTCATATGCTGCCAAAAGCTCAACATCCTCAACCCGGTGCCTTCAATACGATATACAAGCCCAGCGGATATAGTGATAGGAAAATTAGTGTCAGAATGCTAACCAACTTTTTGGTTATTGAATATAAATAAACGTACTACACTAATCGATGTTTACGGCACTTGTTTATATACGAGTTTCGCGTACATTTAGCTAATATTCCGTACCAGAAGTATGATTTCACAAATGCGAAGTCGGTTTACTTATTATTCTATTTATGTACTACTCAAGAAGTCCCGAATATCGGACATAATTACGATCGAGATGCCGGTAAAAAGGTTAGTGTGAGTTTAGCGTAACGTGTGTCATTACGTAGCAACACGAAGGACTACGGCTGCGATAATCATAGGTCACTATTTAGTACCATGCATTACTCGCGACAAGCTAAACTAATCATTGGTTTCGCTTACGTTTCGCTAACAATGCATGTAGAGAAATGACGAAAAATACGAAATAAGTTCAATCGTTATTTTTATGTATTCAAATATACGAGGCAATTTGGACATCACTTTGTGAATGATAGCCACATGAAGATTACCGTAAGTTTAGCGTGATGTGTCCTTGCGTAGCAACACTAACAACAACGACAGCGCTAATCGTAATTTACCATCGCACATGAATGATAACTCTTATGCGGATGTAGCTCCCAACTCTCAGATTGTTAGTCTTCAAAGGTTTTATTTTTTAAACTACACCTCATAGGTCTGTAGATGTGATAATTTTGTCAGAGCACATTATCATAATTGAAAAACTTTGTGTGTAATGAAACGTTATGTGGGATATGGTGTTGAAATCACACCAGTCGTTCACGCATATGTAAAATTTTCCAGGCATTTGAACTCGGGGGATCCTAGGCATCAGCAATATCAAAACGATTGCGAAACACACTTTCACAAAGTTCGCAAAATTCTCTAACCCTTATGCATAATGTATAGACTAGTAAAGAATGGTAAAGTAAACTACTATATTGTAAATAAAACAAAATCATGACATTCCTTGTTGTTCAAACTGCCCCCTCCCCCCTCGTCGTCCTACATTGTTTGACGCTATGCTTTTCTGGCTGCCTTCGCTTGGGTAGTTCGTGATAAGGATAGAGATTCACCGCTATTTGCAGTGTTTTGTTATTAATCATATTGCTTCATTAACGAAGCCAGCCTCATTCATTAGAATTTAGTTTACATCTTACCCCATCGCCGAGCCCTATCCTCCCGCAGATACAGATTTTGTTCTCTTGGTTAGATATCAACTGTTCATAGTTGTTAGGTGTTTCCCTACAACTTCAAATCCAAATCTTGCTGCCTTTCAGAACAAATATTCTTCGGGGTCAAGTCAGCTAGCTTCGCCGAGGGCTCGCTGGCACCCAAAAACGGTCTTCATAAACTATAACGAGACAAGGTTTTGGAGACTATTCTGGACAAAGCGCTTTCTCTTTGAGCTTTGCTGACCTGCACAATTAGAAGCCCATGTTATCGTGAGATTTGGGGTTTCGGTTATTGTCTTGTGCTTCATTTAATATTTTTCCTTCCCCCTGAGACTGACGATTGACTGGTCTCTGCGATGGCAGATTTTCTTTTTGATTTCGGTTATTTATTGTGGTGCACCATGAGTGTTCTCTGTACAAATAATGCTAAATGCCTGTTTGTATGTATGTCTGTAAGTCTGTATGTGTGTATTTCTGCACGGTTCCGAATAGGAAATTTTATTTTTGAACCAATCCGGACCAAGTTTGCACATACATTTTTGGCGGATCGGGTGTTGTAGGCTACCTTTCTCATCGAAATCGATTTTATCGCTTCTGAACTTTCACCTACGAGGGCGGGCGTTGGCATGGCACAAGAGGATGGGGAGTAAGTGAGCATGCTGATTACGAAAATATAATTGGCAGAGCTGGGCGAAGCAGGTTTGCCAGCTAGTATAGCTGGCAATTTCAGCTAATTTTAAAGCTTGACTCTTACAAGGGAAGTTCACTTAGTCGAAATGGCGATTCGGAAGGAGATCTATACCAGTAGATAGAGCTTAAAAAGCTGATCTCAGATACACCTTTTATATTTGCGACGCATTGTTCTGAAAAAAGTTATGAGCTTTTCTAAAGCTAAATTTTCGTGCATTTTGAGTCGCAAAATCATGGTAATCGCTACAAAAAAGTGTGCAAGCTTTAAGCAAACCATCTAATAAGCATTGTAGGTCTCTTTCGAGTTCATCCGAACGCTATCAAATGCTTTTCGACCATATTCTTTATCCACAGGTCGTCATTTCATTCCTAGATCACTTTTCCATTATGTGTACAAAAAAGCCCCGTAACCTCCATCTAGAAAAACGCGTCGCGTAGGAAACTTTTTGGAAACTACCAATGGATAGAACGTAAAACGATGTTCTCAAATATATCTTCAATATCTGCGATGCGTTCTTCTAGATGGAGGCTGTGGGCTTTTTTGTATATATAATAGAAGTGTGATCTAGAAAGGAAATAACGGCCTGTAAATAAACAACATGGCCGGAAAACACTCGAAAACGTTCGGATGAACTCGAATTAGACCTACAGTGCTTACTAGGTGGTTTGCTTGGGCTTGCACACTTTTGTGAGCGCTTATCATGATTTTGCGACTCAAAATGCACGAAAATTTGGCTTCAGAAAAGCTC